TGAAGGGACATTTCGAATTAAACTACGCATAAATATAGCCTCCACAGGAAACATCAGGTGTGAAAAAAATTCTTAGTATGACTAAAGAGCTTTTTATTTCCATTAAGAGATCAAATCAGGGCACAATTACACTGTACATTTAAAAATTAGCAGTGGGTGAGTAGTACCAGAGAAAGTAGTATTAGAGTTTGTTCCATTTGAGGGCATATTATGAGGACAGTAGGGTCTCCATAGTCGCAAGGGTTCAGTGCAGAGAACTGTCGCAAACGGACACATTTGCATAAAACCAAGTAAATCCCTATATGTCACAGACCTTACTAGAGTGTTTAGTATTCATGGCTGAAAAACATACAGTAAGTACTCCATCCCTTATATGATAATTAAGTTCTAATGCACTGGATTTCAGTTAATTAAAATGACATTGATCAACTAAAACAATAGAAATCTCAAACTTATAGTGATCAGTTGAAATAAATAACATGAATGCCTCCTCTGTGTCCACCAGATGCCTACACTTTCTCTCTCTGTCTCCATGATTAGCACACCCCACTGTAATGAAACAGGCAATAAAACTGTCAGTGAGCCTGGACCTTTCTTTTAATAATCAAAATAAATCCATAATCTCAATCCTCAGAAGTTCTTCAGTCATAACTCTCACTCCTATTAGATCCTCACTGACACAGAGACTGCAGGCCTGTCTGCTGATGGCAAAGCACAGGACCCAAAAGACTACCCCTGTGCCATTTAGACTCTCTACATTTATTTCTGAGCTCTCACTCATGGCATAGACACAAACCTCAAGCCCTTTTCCACCTGGCAGCTAATATTTACCTGATTACTGATCCCAGAGAGTGGCCAACCACCCACAGCCCCAATCAAATATGCTCTTTTGCGCCTATGCAATTTCTTTCCCACTGGATACCAATCAATCAATTAAGCCAGGTATGTTCAATTTCCACTCCAATCAGTGGCTTTAAAACTAAGCCCCTACTTTCATCATGATGATCATGAAAATATTCTGTCTGATTCTGTCTGAATAGTCTGATTCACACGGAGGAGGATGCCGATTAGCACTGCTGCCACACACTGTAGCTCTTGGGACCTGGGTTCAGCTCTGGATTGGGAAGACTTCCATGTGGAGTTTGCCTGTTTCCAAGCAAAGGGCGTCTAGTTTCTATCAATGTCTACAGCTACAAAATAAGTCATTACCAGTTTGTCTTAATGAATACAATAGTATTTCCGGAACAATAGGTACTGTAGTTGAAGCATTTCTAAACCTTTTCACTTCTCAGCTAACTGCTTTATGTTCCTCCAAAGCCTTCTTGATCTCTTATACCTCAGCAGGGCCGTTGGTATTTATCACAGAGCAGCACTTCCTGTTGTAACTGCACATTGCACTGGGAAATAAAATGATGAACAAAAAAGACAAAGCGATGCAGAAAAAGATAAAAAATACAATAGAAGCAGCTTGAAATAATGTAATTTATATCTTTTTCAACACAAATTACACCAGCACTACTCCTTTAAGTCTTTTATTATACAGTCAACGATGCTTATCCTGCCTTGGGTCATAAGAGACTAAGGACTAGCCTTGATTCTTCAGATTCTGCAACACGTGTCTGCTTAATCTAAAATACAAGTACAAAGGACACTTTTCTTGGGTACACGGCTTATCAGAAATACTTTTTGATAAAACTAAAGGTTGCCAACCTATTTGATATGTTTAGTAAGAAATCTCTGAAAGTGGTCTAATGTTGAAATATAATGCACCATATACAGTTTGTATATATACTATATTGAATTCCTTTGAACCAAACTATTTCTCTGCAATTTCCTTCAAAGCTTACTCTATAGCCTCATTTTACTCTAGACCAGAAACACATCTGCAGTCTCTCTGCCACGGACAGGGAACTGAGCACTTACCTGTACTTTCCCCCATTAGTGTCAGTGCAAGAGCACAGATTTCAGGGGGTATTTTTACTGGAGGTGTATTGAAAGTAGGAGAACAAAGATGAGCACAGTATTCACATCTGGTAATCGTACAACAAATATTTCTATTTAAAATGAAATTTCTATCTTGCTTCCCTGACAAGGCTGTGAGGAAAGTATATCAATTGTGCATCCTTTTCTGCTTAATTCCTGAAAGTGTGGAGCATTTTCAGAATGTGCATTGCAGAAAATTTCTGTTTATAATTTATTCAATATTTCCACATAATGTGACAGAATAATGGTTCTGTGTTTGTACTATGTGAAATAAAATCATTGACTGCTGTCCGAATTAATGCTATTAAAATAACTGTCAAACCACTATACACTCAGACCTTATTGCTACTATAATATTTTATCTTAACTGGGTTTAGTTGTCACTGGTATAAGACATTGTGAAACTATGTTTACATTTAAGCAAATTGCTATTTTTGGAGGATATATTTTCGCTAAGACATTTTGCATTAAAAGTTTTTAGGTGCAGTAGATTATCTAAAAAAAAGACGTTAGTACTGACTGAAACTCAGCAAGAAGTAGACTTAGTTCACGAGAACAAAAGTAACCTTAATCATTACCGTGCTGCACTTGTATGTTTGTTGTTAGTTCTGTAAAAGCTTGGTAGTGTGTCTGTTATGAAGGTGCTATGCTAATGCAAGGCCTGTTTCACTTATTTGTTTCTAATTCCTGATAAAGAATCACAGTGACAACTGCACCGTTGCTCTATATTATATATTAATTACTCAATCAATTGATCCCTCGGTGCTAGGGTCCAAAAATCTATTATAAAACAGGTATCAGTTTTAGAATAGTACCAGTATTTCTACTGCCTTTCGTTTATATGTTACACATCTCATACAGATTTCTGGTGCTAACATTCACAACATCCATTTAGCTTGCTTCTACAAAAACCTTACCATAACAGCATCTTGTGCAGTATTTATTTACCCTTTGAGTTGTCACCTCACTCCTTAAAAAGTCACATTCTCCCTCAAAAACGTTTGTTAAAGTTAGAAGAATAAAAGCCTAAACTTAGCAAATGCACGAACCTGCTTTGCTCATTTTTCTTACAATTTAATTTATATTTGTTTCATACTGCAGCAGTTACATCCCACTCAGATTTTTTTTTTCCTTGAACAAATGTAAAAGCTTAACCCATGACATTTTGCAATACAAGTGTAGATTTCCTAAATAATTAATGTGATTGTTAAATTCATAGCATTATTGAGATTTCTTTCTTTAAAGAATATTTCACCCTTTTCTGGCAAGGTAACTGGTTTTCAAGAGATCTATTGCAATACAAACTAACCCAGTTGATAGACAAAACACAACAGAAATTTTGAGGTAATAATCATAATAATTTTACCATCATGACTAGATATTAGGGCAGCATGATGGTGCAGTCGTTGGCACTGCTGCCCCACAGTGCTGAGGCCCTGGGTTCAATTCCGGCCCTAGGGTCCTATCTGTGTGGAGTTTGCATGTTCTGCCTGTGTTCATGCAGGTTTTCACCGGGTGCTTCAGTTTCCTCCTATAGTACAAAGACATACTGGTAGGTTAACTGGCTTCTGGGTGTGAGTTGGTGTGTGTTTGTGGCTGTGTGTCCTGTCCAGGGTGTACCCTGCCTTGCGCCCATTGCTTGCCAGCATAGACTCCAGACTCCTGCTCCCCTGTGACCATGAACTGGATAAAGAGGTTAGAAAATGGATGGATGGACTAAACAGAAGAAAGCTCAGCTCGACTGTCAACATCTCGTGACATTTCAACATTTTCTCACACTTCCAGACTGGGATGTTTTGAGGGATCTCTTGGACAAAGTTGTGAGGGCTTGTAGGAGTCCAGACCACCTGGTTGTGGACTGCTGTTTTAGAGTATTACAATGGCTTTTTTTTTCTTTTCTTTTCCACTTTTTTTCTGTCATCCTCCTTTGTTTTCAAGCTAAAGTAACATTAAAACAAGCCCCGGGATATCAGAAAACCCTAAAACACATTTCAGCTTGCATTTACGTACTTGTTAATATGATTTTAAAACACCAGGCAATATATTAAAATGAGTACTGAAGAATGTAGCCAGCTATCTAACATCACAACACACTTGAACTTAACTTTAAATCCCTACAGCACACGTGTAGCAAATGCACTGCCCGGGCATGTCGCTTCTGTAGTTCCTTCTAAATTTTCACTGTCCCAGACATCAACCCAGAATTAATTTCGATGAACTCCTAACTAGAAGTAAAAAACATTTTTGAATGTTCAATTGCTGTTTCTCGTTTGTTTATATTTATTGTGTTTGTCAGTAAAGCGCAGTTTCTTTCAAACCATTTTGTTTTGTATAGGGGCTTTGAGTAACCATTCGCCTTTTAACTTTCATGCCTGTTACTTTCTTGAAATAACTTCCACTTCACTTACATGTACAAGTAATTTTAAAAGCGCTATTTGTGCTGATACCTCGTTAAAACTCGAGATTTGAAGTTCATAAGAAAAAGAGCGCAGCAATCGCACATTGTGACACCTTTGGTTACATTTTACTTAGTTATATTTGTTTTAAAAGGAAATGATGAATATACCACTGAGGCATTACTTTTCCTTGTACAGTTCTAAAGGCTCTCTCGTTGGAATCTTGAAAACCAATTTCGGTCACCTTTCGAACCAGTAAGAAATGTAAAAGCACGCTCCGCTAATGACTATTTTCACTGAATTAATTTTAATTCTCCTTTTGAACGTTAATAATCTATTCCAGTGTTTAACGGACCACTGTGAAAACTGTTTTTCATTTCTGTAAACACGCAAATATGCACTGGCTTCAAAACGAAATACCTCCGGTTCCATTGCAGGCATACAAATGCAAAATTCAAAATTTTAAGGTAATTAACCTCAAGGTTTCTGTTTACGTTTCCATTTAAAGAAAGTGTCACTGTCGGCGTAAGATCAGCAGGACTGGGACGACAAATGTCTCATTTCCCGAGGCCTAGCTAAATACACTGAAAAGCCGAGTTCCTGCTATCCAAAAGCTCATACCTTCTCTGTATTTCTTGCGTAACTTCCTATGGACGTTCTTGACCACTCCGGACAATTTCTCCTGTTCCAGTTTCTTTCTTTGACCCTCTCCAGATGTAACTGCGCGGACCTGTCCGGGTTCGGTCTCTTTTCCTTCAAGCCCAGCATTGTCCTGGGGGTCCATACTAGCACACAGCTCCTCCTTCAGTCACCGGCACGCCAGGTCGCAGGCAGGCAGAGCGCAAACTGATTGCGTCTTCCTGACTCACAAGGCACGACTGACAGCCAGACACCCAATCGGAGACGCGTTGCAAGAAGGCAGCTGTAGAGGTCGACGGCTGGTTCACAGCAATTTCAGAGCCTCAATAGCGCATGCAAAACCAAAAACAAATTCTTAACGACTTTTTAGGGGTTGTCATCTGAATAAGTTTATTTCATAAACTTCACAGTCGCGATTCTATTAATTTTAGATCTTAGATAGCGGGACGTTACAGTATATTTTCCCTTTTCATTGACTTGCACCACATTCATTATAAATTGAAACCTGCATTTGAAAAGAGTGAATTGAAAACCTTATAACTTAACAATATTGTTTTTCATATTATTTAAACTGTTCTTGGGAGTGCTGCATAATACACTTAGAAATCAGTAGTGTCACCCGCCTTTAAGCACTGTACGAGAGTGACAGTTCCTCTAACAGCGGTAATAAAAATACAGCTTTATTTAGTGGAATTAGACATTGTAACAGCACTTGGATGGCCATAATAATGCAACCTTGCAGAAGACCTCTAGTGTATAAGCATACAGTAAAGCTCTCTTTAGTGCCGCTAGTGCCTCCTTCGAGCGAGCGCCTCTGCACGCTGCACGCTGCACCCTGTCAGACGGCTAGTATCTCGCATCAAACGGGTACACAATATGCATCTCCAACTGTACCTGGTACACTGAGTCGGAGGGTCTGCAGTGTTGGAATCAGAACTTCCACTGGACCCGATTTGATGCGCGCTGCTAATGAGATTGACCCTGATCTTAATACTAGCAGTTCTGTCAGTGTTCAACATGTTGCTGGTGTGGCCCATTTCAGCTAAACATTGAGCCAAGATGATAAAGCGGACAAAGAACACAATGACCCTGAAAAAACATACTGTATATTGCACGTCATTGCTGTGGAGGTAGGCAGTTGATGTTACCTGTTGTGATGTAGACTATACCAAAATTAACAGCATTCTATGGATGAATATTTTTTAGAAAAAATAAGGTACAAAGATTTTGGATTTTGATTAAATGATTTAGAGATCACTGTGATTAATTCATAATTTGTGACTAACCCTGATACACTCAATTGACTTTAACTGTTACAGAAACACTTAATCACCTCTGTAGAGAGAGGAGTGCAACAAGGCAAATTTACAAGCTGAAAATGCAGAAAATAAAAAAAGGAAAACATACAACATACAATCAAAGAACAAATATGCCTTGATTATCAAGAAAGCAATGCTTTAGTGCCATTGGACTTCCTCTGAGCACTGTCATCCACTGTCCATGGTGTTATATCAGCTAACGATTTCTTACCAGGCAAGACATTGCAGCTACACACAGTCCAGCAATCTGGGAGAACACAATTACAGCAGCTCTCCAAGATCGTTGGGGAGGTCATAGTCTGACTGTGAACTGTGAGCAGGATGTCTAGCTGCTGCAGAGCTCAACTTCTCATGATGATGCCCACCTGACAGCACAGCAAAGAACTGGAATCTCACCTGCTGCGTCTCCTGTGGACTCGTCCTGCCATAACCGCATTCCAGCGGGTTACCGTGTATCCTCGTGCTGTTGTGAAACAGTGACTTTCTTGTGAAGTGCGAACATGACACTTACAGTATGTTACCCAGCTTGCCAGACTTGAGCCCCCCTGAATACCTTTGGGATGAGTTAGAATGACATGTGGTATCTAGGGCTCAGAATAGTGAACAGACACATGCTTGTCCAGGGTCTACATGAGGAATGGAACAGATACCCACAAGACAAGGCATCCAGGCACCCATGTAACCTGAGTATTGCAGATGTACAGCTTGTTCTTGTCATGTTTAGCCAGCAGCTATATCACCCTGCAACTCACAACTGGCAACCCACTGAAGCTAAGCAGGTGTGAGCCTGGCCAGTACCTGGATAAGAGACCTCATGGGAAAGCTAAGGTTGCTGCTGAAAGAGGTCTTATTGGGACCAATAGGGGTGGCTCACCCTGTGGTCTTTTTGGGTCCTATTGTATAATGACAGGGACACTATACTATAAAAAGGCACCATCCCTTGAATGAAATGTAAAACTGAGGTCCTGACTCACTGTGGTCATTAAAATTCCCAGAGCATTCTTGAAAAGAATAGAGGTGTTACCCCAGCATCCTCACCAAATTTCCCATTGGCCTTTACCAATCATAGCCTCCTAATAATCCCCGTCTATGAATTGACTTCATTAATTTGTTCTTTCTACACTGATAGCTGATGTGTGGTGAACGTATTGGTGCACTATAGCTGCCGTCACATCATCCAGGTGGGGCTGCACATTGGTGGTGATGGAGGCGAGTCCCCAGTACTGGTAAAGTGCATTGAGTGGAGTGTCCAGAAAAGTGCCGTATAAGTGTAAGGAATGATTATACATTCAATTATTACAGTTATTTATCATAATTAATTTAGCTATATAACGTCTTTACAAAATGCTGGTGAACCTGCCATAAAATGATTTTGTACTTTCCTAATAATAACTTTGTGAATGTGTTGCTGTTACACGCATTTTTTCATTCATTATATCTAAATGTAATGGCAGGGAAACCAAGAACAGCCAGGGGACCAGGGAAGTTAAAAACTGGAAGTGTTTTTGCTATGACAAATGAAATGAATGTATTTGTGTAGTGTTAAGTTCAAATATTTAAAACAATTGTAGAGGTATTCATGTTTCAATTTTTATTTTATTCTAAACATATATTTAGAAACTTATTATGGCCTTTCTTCAGTTATCATTTGTTAGTGTGTTATTATAAGTCCATTCTTTTATCATATTCTGAATAATAGTCATGTGAATATAATGCATCCAAAGAGCTATTATCTTGGTGGATGACATTTTCAGATGACTGACGATTAATTATGGCTAAGGTCTGCTAAGTTCATTAAGATTGGGACTTCTGCCCATCTTCTCTTCTGAGCTTTTCTTCTGGGCAGACAAGGCAGATTGTCCATTCATGTGATGCACCCACATTAGTGATGAAGCAAATCATACATCCCAGCACAGAATGTTCCACTGAGAAAGCCCCCCACCCTCATAAAAAACAGATACTGATACTGCAGGTTCTTCACTGGAGAAGATGAAAAACTAAGTGACAACATCTTGTCCTAATAATACTATCACATTGTATCAACATAAAATATCATAACAATATACTGAATATTTACTTACATTTTAAATACATTAATTCAGTGTTTAGAGGTATGAAAAATCATGTATTATGTCATCAATGTAACGAACAGTTCTTTCAGGACCCTATGCGGACGACACAGTCCGACGGAGTGGGGGAAACACTAGGGAAACGTCATGCAGGAAAACAGGGCTGAAGACAGGGGGGCGTGTCCAAGGTGCGCAGGTGCACGGGGAAGGTGTGGCCGAGGCGAACAATCCGAGAGTAGTCCTTAGGGAAAATCCAAAACGTAAGGGTAAGTCCAAAACCAGGAGATCCATCAGAGCAAGAATTAAAAAACCATGAAGGCCGGGTCGGAACTGGCGGACGGGGAACAGGAACGGGAACGGGAACAGAGATTAAAACCTTAACGGGACCAGGCGCTTCAAGGTCCCGGACTCGCATGATATTGAAATCAGATGCAGAGCCCGGATGAGCGTCAGCGCCTGGCTTTTAAGGTGGGCTGGGAATAGGGAACAGGTGCATAGAATAAAGTCTCACGTGAAAGGGCTGGAGCACCCTTAAGGAGGGGGAACTAATATCGTGACAATCAAAGTCTTTAAAGATAAGACATTCACATGCCTTTAATGCAGTGAAGACCACAGTTCAGTTCATACCCTTGCCATGTCTTCATAAACTCCCCTTCACAGTTTATAGCTGGTAGGGTCAGAAAACCTCTGAGAGTGATGAACACATCAGGAAATGTTAATTGAAAGCCATTTTGCAATACAACTTGCAGCTGCCTGGTTTATGATTTTTCAGGTTTTTCCTGTCCAAAGAATCTTAACTGTATGGATTCTTCAGAAGAGTTTTGTTCTGAGTCATTGTGGTAAACTGCAGAAAACTAAGAGGCGTGCTTGTGATTGTCAGTGATGTCCAAGTTGTTTTCCAATAGTACTGGAAAGCATTTCTGCAGCACTCAATGTGCAGCTAATCTCCTTTTACTCTTTGCATTTACAGATAGCTGCCTTCCACCCCCCACCCCCCGTACTGGTCTTCTAGACTGCCATCTCTTTATCTTCCTTTTTCCTACACACTACCCACTCTTACATTTTCTTACTTTTGTTTTCCACCCCCCTTCTCTTTCACTTATGTCTCTGTTCTCGCCCTCTCGCCTCCACACCTGAAAAGGGACTGATAAACATTTCTTTTTACTATTCGAGCATTAAATTAACTCCTTAACGTGTTCTGGTAGCTCATTGCCTGAATCGTAATGGAAGCTGTCTCCATTCTACCAATCACACCAAAGTCCTTTGCTTGTTGTAGCATGTGTCTTTCACATTTCACAGAATATAATATCTCAGTCCAGTCCATAAGCAATGTAAATAAGTTGTTGTGTAAAGTTTAATTAAAGTGTAGCTTTTCATAGGTACTGAAAAATAGAGGTTACATCTATTGTATATGTTATACTGTAGCTATTGATACCTGAGTTATAATATGGTACTCCAAGCAGTTACAGTCCTTTGCTTATAGTCAAGAGTGGGAGTACTGAACTGATAACACAAATAGGTCTAGAAAGTACTTTATTATTACAAGAAACAACATTTCAGTTACAATAATATCATTTAAAAAAGAGAAAGAAATTTGGGAAAGCAAAACACAAAATCACATTCAAACCTAATTAGATGATTCTGCATTAGTGTGATAGTGATGGGTCTAGTATGTAAAAAGATTTGACCTTTGTTCAAAAAGATTTGTCCTGGTGCCCCAGGTGTCCAGGCCCCCTGTTTTTCAATCCGCCACTAACCGAGACAATAATGGGAACCGTCTAGACGATGAAAGGGATATATTACATAAGTATTTCACTCTAGTGTTCACAAAGGAAGG